AAAGCCAACCTCAGCAACTGGGTGAGGCCCTAAGCAACTTAGTGAGACACTGACTCAAAATAAAGTGGGGGGTGGGGCAGGGGCTGAGGATGTGGCTCAGAGGGTAAGCACTTCTGGTACCAAAAAACAGAACATACACCTGAACTGAGTCCTAAAGATCAGACAAGCATTAGCCAAGCAAAGAAAAAGATAAGAATCACTGAATGTAAAGACAAGAGAAAGCCCTTTACAGGACAGGAAATCTAAAGTGCATCATAGAATTTGAGGCAAAAGGAAAAGAAAATCTAGAGAAGAGTCAGATCATAAATGACCTATGCCAGGTTCTGTGGCAACTTATCAAGACCCTATCTCAAAATAAAACATAAAAAGGGCCGGGGATGTGGATCAGTGTTTAAGCACCTCCTGGGTTTAATCCCTGGTACAAAAAATAAAAACCAAAAAATAAATGACCTTGTATACATGCCATGCTTCTTTAAACTGTATCCTAAAAGCAATAAGAAAGCATTGAAGATCTTTCAACTGGAAAGGTTGATTAAATTTATACATGTCAATTACAGTGCCTGACTGCTTACAGCCCTATACTTTTCACCATTATGATCTGCCCCACATCCATATGTACAGATGAACACACAGCCAACACTGTGTGTCCAGGAGTGGTCACATTATCCATGTCCAGAAAGCCTGCTGGCAACCAATGAGAAAAAGAGCTAAGCCAGAAAAATGGATTCTTGGGAATTTAAACCAGAAAATCCTAAGAAAACTAAGAAGTTAGCTCAGGAGCTGAAGTTAAAATGTTAGCAGCAAGGAAGGAAAAAAAAAGGGGGGGGGGGGGGGGGGGGACAGCAGCCAGAAAGCAAGATGTTGGCACAGGAGCAACAAAGAAGTTTTAAGGAATAGAAACTAGGAATAAATGGAAGCAATGAAATAGAGGAGGAGGAAATTGGAGGAGAGAGAAAGATTAAGCCAAAAAGAAAGAGTAGGCTAGACAACAAAAGAGCACATGTAGGGCTGCCTCTATGGCTCAGTGATACAGCACTTGCCTAGCATGCATAAGGCCCTGGGTTCAACCCCCAGCACCACAAAAAAATAAATAAATAAAGTGAAATCTGTCTTCTCCTGCTTACAACTTTATTAGGTTTCCATTCTTCTTGAAACAAATTTATTTGGCTTTTCCTAGGTTCCCTTGGGCATGTATGTTTCCTTCAAAAAAGCATTCCATTACTTAAGATAACTTCTCTCTTCCTTGCAACTGAAAGGGCCTAATAAAAGAATATTAGAACACTTACTTTAGCGGTAGTGCAAAGAATGAAAAGAGAGTATGACAAAAGGATGCAGAGAACAGAAGTCAACAAGAACACTTAGAAAGCATTACAGAAGCACAACAGGCATTTTGAGTTAAAACAGTAGAGACAACAAAAGAGTAATGAAGGATAATAACCAATGATCAGAAATATGAGAACAAATGTTCAAGACTTAGTAACAAAGTAAATGTTAGTGTTGAGGCTCAGAATTTAGTGGAAGATGATTCACAAAGTTCTTAAAGGCTTCATGAAGGTATTAATAAAGGTATTAATAAATGAGGAGGAAGAAAAAAAAATTGTTGCACTTTCATCTGCGTACCTGCCCACCCACACATGCACAACTGTTTTGGAGAAAGAGGCAGAAAAGAGTTTTCTTTTGCACTTTTTTGAAAGTGCCTGTGAAACGTAAAACCAGGTGAAGATATTCAATATTCAGTAGACAGTCATTTACAGAGGTATAGAGCAGAGAAGCAAGAGCTCTAAACAGCAGCCCTGGACTTGGGAACCAATACATTAAGTCAAGGTTGTGTTTTAAAGATGTTGGAAAAGTCTTCAATGTTTACTTCAAACTAAGTTAATACACCTAAAACATCATTCAAATTAAAAACCTTAACATTCTTGGCAAAGTATATTTTCAAAGTTCCTGCACTTCTTTGCAAATATTAAAAGTTAAACAACTACATAGTATACTCCAAATGATTAGGAAAGAAGGTGTTTATATTACTAATTTCTCCTAAAGTTTTTGTATTTTTTAAAAAAACCTAAGTTGAACCAGGCACAGTGGAATACACTGGTTGTCACAGTTCCACAGGTGATTGAGGCAGGAGGACAACTTAAGCCCAGGAGTTCAAGACTAGCCTGGACAACGTAGCAAAAACCTTCCCCATTTAAAAAAAAAAAAAAAACTAAAAAAAAAAAAAACTAAGTTTTCTCTACTTTCCTCAGTAAGTACACACCACTAAATTAAGAGGAAAATATGTTAAAACATCATATATAGTGAATTTCACTACTGATGCTTAACCTACAATAAGGCTTTTTAAAAATTTTAAACATATATATTAAAATATTGCACTTTAAATGTTAGTTTTCTGTCCTAAACCTTTTCTCCTTTTATCTATAAGCTTCTGTCTCCAAAATTTATCACTACCAACTCAGCACTTGTTAACTGCAAGTTTTAGCCACATATCCACCTGTCCACTGACCATCTATACCTGAAGGACCCACATCCAACCAAACTTAACATCCCACAATGTGAACCCCTCTGTCCCTCTTTGATAAAATAAAAATCTCACTCCTTTATGTGGCTCCCTACCTCACTGAAAGGCACAGGGAGAAATCTTTACACACTCTCCCCAACCTGGAATCCAATTAAATCACCAAGTTTAGTCCCAAGTTCAGACCCATTATCATCATTTGTCTGGATTACCCTCCTGATATTAAAGCTTAAGCCTACTCTAGTCTTCAGTCCACCCTAATCACTGCAGTCAGTGACTTTTTTTAAAAAATATTTTTTAGCTGTTGATGGACCTTTACTTTATTCATTTATTTATATGCAGTGCTGAGACTTGAACCCAGTGACTCACACATGTGAAGCAAGCACTCTACCACTGAGCTACAACCACAGCCCATGAAGTCAGTGACTTAAAAAAAAAAAAAATGCATATCTGATAATTTCAGTCACCAATTTTAAATCCTTGATTTTTAAATTAAATATCAAAAAGTAGTCACACTATTGTAGCTCAGAGATTCAATCAGAAACTTATATCCTTTTATGTAGGTTCAACACAAAAGAAACAGGAATTTTTTTCACTTCATGTATTAAAACATACATATAACTGATATATTTAAAAATGTGCAGTATTTTCTATAAAAGCAAAAGACCTCAAGTTCATCAAAATGGAATGCTATCCAGCCAGTAAATGATATCCATACGTCTATCAAATTATCTCTGGGATCCAGTAATTAAGTGGAAAAAAACAAGCTATATACAAAGTGTATAGTATGCAATCACTTATGTGTGTTGTGTCTTAATATACCATATGAACTTGTAAATGCTGGAAATATCACAAGAAGGATACACGAGAAGCCGGAAAGAGGTTGTTCTAAGGAAAAAGTGGGTGGCTAGAGAACTAAGAAGGAAGAGAACCATTCTACTACACTACTCTCCGGAACCTTTTGACATTTATACTAGGTCTACTTATTACCCATAATTTCAATATGATTTTCTCCCTCTCTGTCCACATACACACAAAGTTTTAAAGTAGCGACTACAAAGAGTTTTTTATCCTTTATCCCTTTAAAAGTTAAAATTATGGACTGATCATTTGATGCAACACTGTATTTCCTTCTTGACAGCTCAGGAGTAGAACCTTCAATATTTTACTATTATTGATAAAGTTTTTAGTAATGACACAATAAACATTACACTTTTTTATTTTAAAATTTTTTTTAGCTGTTGATAGGTCTTTATTTATATGTGGTGCTGAGAATCCAACCCAGTGCCTCACACACACTAGGCAAGCGCTCTACCACTGAGCTATATCCCCAGTCCCATTGCATGACTTTTGCACTTGCTCCTTAGAGAAGACAGCAATGCCAGGTAGAAGAAAATTATTATTAGTATGATACTAAAGTTTTCAGGGATTAAGGACGGATAGAAATATTTCCCCAGCCAATTCAAAAACAGAAAATTAAAAAAAAAAAAGTCCCCTAACATCTTTCAAAACTAGTATAAAATATCTGTAGAAATCTACAAGGAGGTAATGTAGATGATACATGGAAAAAATATATTCATTGGTGTAATAAGACTTAATCCTTATAGAAGCCCATAAAGTCTCAGATCAATACTAATTCTTTAGTTCTACGAAATAACATGAGAAGCAGGGTGTACGACCTTATAATGGCACACACGGCATGTCCTGTGCTTCGATAGATAATCTTTCCTCTCCCTCCACTTTCAGTGGCGAGAACAAACCCTCCAAACATGTGTTTCACTTCGGTCCCCTTAGTCTCACTGGGGGAATATTCTAGACTAAATCAGGACTTGGAGGCAAAGCATTTTCAATCAAAAAAAAGGATCGCAAACAGGAAGAAAGATAAGGTTTGGGAGACACTATAACAGCGGATAAAGGAGACCCAAAGCTGTGATGGTGTCTAGAGGGGCTGACCCTAATCTACTGGAGGTGAGAGCATCCCGACACAAGCTGTCCGAAAGCCCCGATGGGTAAGGGGACGTGCTAGGTGGCTAGACAGTATGCCAACTGGGCGGAGGGGATGGGAGAGTCCTATTAAAAAGTGAAGGCGGGGGCAGCGACCTATCTGGGAAACCTGTGAGCTGGGGATCGCAATTGGTTAGGAAGTGGCCGTGTCTCGGGCACTACGATCGGGTCCCGCATAATGAAGTCTGCAGACTCAATATTGAGTCCTGGAAGTCTGAGGGGGTTCTGACCGGGTAGGCGCGGATGGGGAATGGTGACAGAATTGCGGCTGAGGCTGGAAAACCAACCGGGGTCTAGCCTATGGAAGATACGAGGGGTTGGGTCTCTGGGGAATCCCGGCCCAGATCAGGAGTCAATAAGGCTCCGAGGCAGACCCGTTCGTGGGGCGTCTCCGCTGGGGCGGGGCGGCCCAGCGGGAGCCAAAGAGCAAGACTGGGACGTGGGCCGGGCTCGGCGGCAGGGCCGCTGGGGCGGGTCTTACCTCGGGCTGCGCCGCGGTGGCCACCACAGCTCCCTCCTCCTGGGCGGAAGCTGCCTCCCACCCTCTGCCCCAGGGTCTGGCCAAAGAAGGCAGCAGGAGCCAAGGCTACCGAGGGTCGGACCGTAGCGCGAGGGTGGGCCCACTGCCTCAAGGTCCGGGCGAGCGGCGGACGCGCATCCCCCGCCCTGTCAGAGAGACTCCGCCCGGCCGGGGCAGGCACATCCCCCGCCGCACCCCGCCCAGAGAGCACGCGTTGGCCCGCCGCCTCAGTCGGGGTCGCCGCCTCTGCTGGTGCGGAGAGTGCTTCCACCGCCGCCTCTCACAATCCGGGCAAGACTCTCCTAAAGCCACCACCAACCGCCGCCGCGTCCCTAGTCCGTTTCGGCCCGCGCGCCCCCGACCCCGCGCACGCGGCCCCGCCCCGCGCGACTCCTCGGCTGCAGGAGAACAGGCGCGCGCGCACTTAACTCTCACGCCCCCTACTGCCAGCCTGGGCCGGCTCCGCCCGGCCCCGCCCCCGCACGTGACGACGCCAGAACGCACAACTGCGCTTGCGCAGACACGCCCTATGTCCTCCGCCCCGGGCAGCCCCGCCTAGATTTTTCTTCCTCACCTTACGGCAGGACTAGGAACTCAGTTACATTCTGCCTCCACTAGAGAGGAATGTCGCAAGGGTGGGGAAAGAAACTCTGGGTTTGCGACCTTAGCTCTCGCTTTCCGGCCAATACTGAGGTGCTTGAAGGCTGGTTGGGGTGGTGAGGCCTGAGGCAGGTAAGAAGCCTGCTCCCCACTTCGGTTTGTCTCAGTTTGTCCCGGTTGTGGATCGCTTTGTCCTCCACCCAAACTAGTGTGCTCCTGTGCTCCCGCTAGATTCTCAACGCCGCCCGTCATAGCCTCCGCCCCCAACACAGGCACGCCCCCTCCCCATTTGTCCCCGCCTCCAGCCTCCCTTTCCTGCCGTTCCTTTCCATTCATTCCTCAGACTTTTCTTGCAGTGTTTTCCATGCTTTAAGTTCAAATTCGGACGCGAAAGAAATACTCAGCTTTTCGAACTGCAGACGATGATTCCACAATGGTAGCATAGTAAAATTATACAGGATGGTGTCTGAGCACAGACGATGGACCCCTGTTTATAGAGGATGACTTTTCCCAGGTGACCTTTGGGTGACTCAAAGAACTGTGTTAAAAGACTAGTGAGCAGTAGCTTGTAAAAGAAATGGGGGGGGGGGGGGTTGGTACAAGTGGAAAGTTTGTTACAAAACATGTGACAGGCCTGGAAGAGTAAAAGGGGATTAGGATATAATTGGCGAAAACCATATTGGTGTAGACTTCCTTTTAAACTACCCCTTTTATAAGGTTTATCTTAAAGGAGACAAATTAGGAACCATAATGTGGGCCCCAATAATGTTTTCTTTAAAGATGGGATTTTTTTTTTTTAAGAATTAAATTGTACCATTGAACCATAAACAAAGGATGAAGAAGACTAATGTATCAAGAAACCTAGTGAACTAAACCTTGGTACTTTTTTCTTTTATGTATTTTTTTAGTTGCTGATGAACGTTTATTTTATTCACTTATTTATATGCGGTGCTGAGAATGGAACCCAGTGTGTCACACACACATGTGAGGCAAGCGCTCTACCTCTGAGCCACAACCCCAGCCAAAAACCTTGTGTACTCTTTAGAATCACCTGGAAAGCATTTTTTTTTTTAGTTGCCTCACCCTAGACCAATTAAACTGTAAGGGCCAGCAATCAGAATTTTTTTAACCCTCCCCAGATGACTAATATTGAGAATTGCCATCCATCAAAATAGAGAAGAGAAAATGAGAGGTAGGGAAGGGTAGGAAATTGGGGGAGTTGGCTCTGTAACATGAAGATGGGGGTCATTTGACAACAGAGTTGAGAATAGAATGAGAGGATTGAGCAGAGTGCTGAAAGTTTTGAATAACTGCTCTGGGAACTGAGCGGATCTCTGCCTGCCTTTCCTTTCAGCAGAGTTCCATCCCTCAATCTTAAATGAAGTCTGCCTCAGTTACTGCTGTCTTTTCTTTCCCTTTCTTGCATCAGAGTTAAGCCAATTTATGAGATTCTGGGGTTGACCAACATCCACTCACCTGGTGCCTTGCAAATTTAGAGGGGTGTCTACTATTATTAATCGTTTAAGTTAGGAACAAGATTTGATATTTAAAATATAATTCTATTAGGATCACCAAGTATTAGGGGAAACAGACCGTTTGACAAAGAAGAATGCACTTGGCAAAGAAGAGTTATATAAGGTAAAGCCCAAAACAGCATGGTGGCTCTCTATTAGCTAGTATTAACCCAAAAACTTGTCTATCTGCCACCAGCTAAGAAGCATTGATGTTGTCTAATATGGCTAGAGCATAGTATAGAAAGTAGAGGTAGGGAAGAGACGAGAATGGTAAAGTGGGTATAACAGATTATGAGCTGTGAATTCCATGCCCAAGAGTTTAGATAATATAAGCAATTAATAGTTGTAAATACAAAGGTGCCTAACCTCTTTTACAGTCTGGGTCTCTCTGGCCATCTGATCTGGGAACAGACCTCAAAAATGCTTTTAAGGGGCTGGGGTTGTAGCTCAGCGGTAGAGTACTTGCCTTGCACATGCAAGGCCCTGGGTTTGATCCTCAGCACCACATAAAAATAAATAAATAAAATAAAGGTTTTGTGTCCACTACAACCAAAAAATAAATATTTTTTTAAAAATTCTTTTAGGTGTATAAAGTAAAATACATAGACATAAAGAGGAAATCAATGTTTTTGAAAGTCTTCAAAATATTTTTTAAATGTGTGGTATAGTTACACATCTGTGCATTAAATATCATCCAGCAGCAGGCCTAATTATATAATTCAAAGTAGTGATGAATATAAATTAAATTTTGGTGACAAAGACATAGAAACTGTTAATACTACTCTAATTTATTGCCTGTACTTATTGAAGAAAATTAAAAATGAATATGCCTTTTTTTTCCCCCAGTCCAAGTTCTTAGAAGTCTGAAATTCTAGCACATCCTGGTCTATAGATCCAGGTTTTAAAATAACCAAGTGTAATGATTTTACATGACAACAGCATGACAGATCTGTTTCAGAAAGATGGTAGTGCGGTGTTTACTTCCCATCCCATCATCTCTGTTGGAGTGAGGATGGGGAGCTGGTTTTCTTTTGTTCCTTCTTCTTGGACAACAACCCACTTAGTACTAACCCACTATTGCCTAATAACCAGAACCTACAGGAGAAATGATCTTGTTCCTATAGTATATAGAAACAAGTATATAGTATATAGGAAAAATATCAGAAAAAAAAATCAGGCAATTTTTTGTGGAAATCACTGAATGTCAGGCTGTTTTACTTAATTTGATAGATAGTAGAAAAATGTTACAATTTTGAAGAATAAAGTGACTAGAGTTCTGTTTAAAAAATTAATATAAAATAATGTCTTGGTTAATTGCCAAAAGAAGGGAATGAAGAGACTAAACCCATAAATTAATTCATTTTGTAAGAGACCAAATCTTGAAATAATTGCTAAAGAGACTGATGAATTATTTCCCAGTGGAATGACCAGTCTAAAGAAACATATATTGGATAAAATTACATACCTTTTAATGATGATACACATCCCAGTGTGGGGATCAACTAGCATTTTATATGGTCAAGGCAAGCCCACCCTAGTATCATAAGTGAATTGTTAGCACTTCTGTAAAGCAGTGGCCTTACCACACATATAGGTTCAAAAATGTTAGTAAGGTCTTCACTGATCAAATTCCATCTATACCTGTATGAAGCTTTCAATTATAATTTCTTTTTTTTTTGGCGCAACACCTTTGTTCTATTTATTTTTGCATGGTGCTGAGGATCGAACTCAGAGCCTCAGAGGTGCTAGGCAAGTGCTCTACCACTGACCTATAGCCCCAGCCCATCATTTCTGATTTTTTAAGTCCAGGACTCCTCTCTCCTTAACAATCCTTTAAACCTTTTGGGTAAGTAAACCTCACTGACAATCAAAAAGGAAAGTCCTCAAGGCCCAGATAATCTCTTTCAAAACTGATCAATTCTAGACTATATTAAAAATTTACTGCTCAGATCCCTACTACTACCCAAAATATTTGGATAATCACATTATCCAAAAAAATTGAATTTGGGGGTTGAATATTACTAATCCAAAAGAGTAAAGTTTTTAACTTTCAGAACCAGATTCCCTAAGAGGCCACCTCCTTCAACACGACTAACCTGTTTTGACTTTCTATCCAATATGTGATTGGAAGCAATTGGGTAGTAATGTGGTTCAATACAGACTGAAAAAAAAAAAATCAAGATTATTGCTGATAGCAGCAGTAGTCCTTGAAACTTAGAAAACTTTTTAAGAATTTTTTATTACTTAGAAGCTGGCGCACACCTATAAATCCAGTGCCTTAGGAGGCTGAGGCCGGAGGACTGCAAGTTCCAGGTCTGCCTCAATAACTTAGTGAGGCCCTAAGCAACTCACTGAGACCCTGTCTCTAAATAAAATACAAAAGAGGACTGGGGATGTGGCTCAGTGGTTAAGTGCCCCCTGAGTTCAATCCCTAGTATAAAAAGAAAAAGAAAGAAATGTCATTTTAATTTATAAGCCCTAAAATTAATAACATTTCCTATGCTTGTAACAATTGCATGTTTTTAGGAGTTTTTTCAAAGTAGAATTTCATTTCTCTATTCTGCTCAAGAAAAATATTCACGTATTAAAACTTCTCTAGTTTATCAGACACTGAAAATATAAGGATGAATAAAATCTAATCTCTGCACTCAAGAGGGTAATATAAATCTTGATGTTAATTTTTACATATCACATTATACAAATTTCCAGTGGTTTAGGCTTAGGACTAAAAGGAAGTATTTAATTGGGGGAAATTAAAGCCCCAAGACAAGGCTTGAACTTCCTTCCTGAAATATTTCTGTTAATGCTGCCATGAAAAACACATTTGGTCTTGAATGTGATTCTTTTTGTGAAAGTGCAAATGGAATCATACATTAAAAGTTGGACATAGTGGGGGCTGAGGCTGTAGCTCAGTGGTAAAGTGCTTGCCTCTTGTGAGGCACTGGGTTCAGTCCTCAGCACCACATAAAAATAAGATACTGTGTGTTCATCTACAACTAAATAAACATTTAAAAAAAAAATAGTTGGATGTAGGGCTGAGGTTGTAGCTCAGTGGTAGAGTACTTGCCTAGCATGTGTGAGGCACTAGAATCTATTCTCAACACCACATAAAAATAAATAAATAAAGGTGTTGTGTCCGTCTACAGCAAAAAAGTTGGGCATGATTTTTTTTATGTTTTGTAAATAGCAAATTATATTTAAATTGTGTTTGCAGGTTATGGAAAAGATGGACTTTGTTTTTTCCAAGGGATAGAAGTAAGACTTGTAAATTAAAGAAACAGGCATATTTTAGGTCAGCATAAACCTACAAGGAGATAATTCCCCCCCCCCAAATGGAAATAGTTGTATTCGTTGTTTATGTGTTCATTTTAAAAAGAAAGGGGGTGGTGACCCACACTTGTAATCCCAGCTACACAGGAGGCTAAGGCAGGAGGATGGCAAATTCAAGGCCAGCCTGGGCAACTTAATGAGATCCTATCTCAAAAAGGACTGGGAAGTGCTGGGAGTGTAGCTTAGTGGTAGAAAGCTTGCCTAGCACGTGTAGGCACTAGGTTCAATCCTCAGCACCACATAAAAATAAATAAATAAAATAAAGGTATTGTGCTCATCTACAACTAAAACTAAAAAAAAAAAAAAAAAAAACAGCAAGAAAGAAAAGAAAAAGGGCTGGGGATGTAGCTCAGTGGTGGAGCACCCCTGGGTTCATTTCCCAGTACCAAAGAGGAAAAGAAAGGGATGTTCAATCCCCAGCACTGCAGAAAAAGGGGAAGAAGCAAAAAAGTATTAATTCTATTTTTTTTTTCATTTCTTTTTTCCTATCTATTTATTTTTAGTTCTGGTTAGGCACACCACCTTTATTTTATTTATTTATTTATTTTTATGTGATGCTGAGGATTAAATCCAGCCCCTCACACATGCTAGGCGAGTGCTGTACCACTGAGCTACAACCCTAGCCCCTAATCCTATTTCTTAAAGAAAGTTTTTAATGGGTATTGTTCTTATTTTGTGTATATTTTTATTATATACAAATTTTATGAAACTGCCCTTTTTTTTTTTAATTTTTTATTGTTGGTTATTCAAAACATTACATAGTTCTTGATATATCATATTTCACCCTTTGATTCAAGTGGATTATGAGCTCCCATTTTTACCCCATATACAGATTGCAGAATCACATCAGTTACACATCCATTGGTTTACATATTGCCATACTAGTGTCTGTTGTGTTCTGCTGCCTTTCCTATCCTCTACTATCCCCCCTCCCCTCCCCTCCCCTCCCCTCTTCTCTCTCTGCCCCCTCTACTGTCATTCATTTGTCCCCCTTGTATTATTTTTCCCTTTCCCCTCACTTCCTCTTGTATGTACTTTTGTATAACCCTGAGGGTCTCCTTCCATTTCCATGCAATTTCCCTTCTCTCTCCCTTTCCCTCCCACCTCTCATCCCTGTTTAATGTTAATCTTCTTCTCATGCTCTTCAACCCTACTCTGTTCTTAGTTACTCTCCTTATATCAAAGAAGACATTTGGCATTTGTTTTTTAGGGATTGGCTAGCTTCACTTAGCATAATCTGCTCTAATGCCATCCATTTCCCTGCAAATTCTGTGATTTTGTCATTTTTTAATGCAGAGTAATACTCCATTGTGTATAAATGCCACATTTTTTAATCCATTCATCTATTGAAGGGCATCTAGGTTGGTTCCATAGTCTTGCTATTGTGAATTGTGCTGCTATGAACATCGATGTAGCAGTGTCCCTGTAGCATGCTCTTTTTAGGTCTTTAGGGAATAGACCGAGAAGGGGAATAGCTGGGTCAAATGGTGGCTCCATTCCCAGCTTTCCAAGAAATCTCCATACTGCTTTCCAAATTGGCTGCACCAATTTGCAGTCCCACCAGCAATGTACAAGTGTACCCTTTTCCCCACATCCTCGCCAGCACTTGTTGTTGTTTGACTTCATAATGGAAACTGCCCTTTTCATAACATAGTATGAACATTTTTCTGTGTCAATAAATTTACATCTACAACTTTAATAGTTAAAAACTTTCATTATGTAGGAACCCCATTATTTAAACATACCAGTCATCTTTTTAACTCCATGTTGTTTATAATTTTTCTGATGTAAATATTGGTGTGGCTATTTTTACAAATATAACATTTCCCATAAGATAAATGTTTAAAAGTATAATCCCTGCATTATGTACACTTCTTAAGTATTAAAATGTAATGTCAGCTGGTCATGGTAGTACATACCTGTAATCCTAATTACTCTGGAAGCTGAGGCAAGAGGATCTCAATTTTGAGGCCATCCCTGGCAATTTAGAAAGTCCCTGTCTAAAATTAGGAAGTAGAAAGGTCCAAGGACATAGCCAGTGGCAAAGCACCTCTGTGTTCAGTCCTTCAGACAGCAGAAAAAGAAATTAAAATGTAATGTCCAATTACCCTTCAAAAAGCTTGCTTTTGCAATGGCACCCACCTGTAATCCCAGAAACTCATGAGGCTGAGGAAGGATGATCACAAGTTCAAGTCCATTCTCAGCAATTTTGCAAGACCCTATCTCAAACAATAAAAAGGACTACAGATCGTTAGTTCAGTGGTAAAGCATCCCTGAGTTTGATGCCCAGGTCCCCCCCTCCCAAAATTGCTTTTGTTTACATTCCTGTCAAAATGAGAGTGTTCATTTTTCCTTAGGTTCAACAACGCTAATTATTAGTAGTATTCTCATCTTTGCTAATTTGATGATTAGGTGAAAAAGGAAATCTAGTTTTAACTTGCATGTCTTACCTATTATTTTTTTTTAACTTTCATTTCGTTGATTACTAGTAAGGTATTGAGTGTCTTTTCATGTGTTTATTGACCAGTAATATGAATGTATTAGCTTCTGTTTTCTATGTTTCATATTTCTCATATTTCTCACTTCACACATCTTTCTGGAATATAATTTGATATAAAGCAGCATTCTACAATTCTAACTATTTTTAGTCAAATGGTTAACAAGTTATCACAGTGCCATTTATTTAAAAACCAAGCAAGTATATCCTCTACTTCAGTGCACAGACAAGGTGTCAACAACAACAACTAAATCGACTTCGTGGTCAAAAAAGTGGGAAAAATCAAACCAAAAACAGTTAAATGAATTTTTTATTCTCAAATCTTTTCTAGCCTCCAATGTGCTTGTGTGTATTATAAATCTCTAATAAAAGAGTTTTAGGATTTAGCATTTCTCCAACTTTTTTAACTATATAGTCTTTTTTCTTTTTTCTTATCTATGCTACTGAGCTATCTAGTATACTAGCTACTGGTTACATGTGGTTTGTTTTGGGTTTGGTTTGGTTTGGTTTTGGTACTAGGAATTGAAAACAGAGATGCTTTACCACTGAGCTAAGTCCCTAGTCGTTTTTTATTTATTTTTTTTTTAATTTATTTATTTTTTAGTTTTCGGCAGACACAACATCTTTGTTTGTATGTGGTGCTGAGGATCGAACCCGGACTGCACGCATGCCAGAGGAGCACGCTACCGCTTGAGCCACATCTCCAGCCCCCGTTTTTTATTTTTTGAGACAGGATCTCACTAAGTTTCTGAAGCTGGCCTTGAACTTGTGATCCTGCCTCAGCCTCCTGAGTTGCTGGTATTACAAGTATGCACCATTGCAACTGTCCACATGTGGCTATTTAAATTTTTAATTTTAATTAAATAAAATAATTAGGTTCCTCAGTCACACTGATCACCTTTTTAAGTACTCAGTAGCCACATGTGGCTAGTTACTACAGTATTGAACATTGCAGATAAAGAACAGTTCCATTTTCACAGGAAGTCCTCTTGAACAGCACTGCTATAGTGTTCCGTGGAACTCACTGAAAACACTAGAGCAATCCATAATTTCTCCCATTGATTTGTAATGGCTCCACCAATATATTTTAAATTTCTGACATATGCATTGGTTTGTTTTGATTCTTTCCTACATTGGTTTGTTTTTATATTGCTCCTTGATTTATCTTTTTTCTGTTCCAATATCACATAGCTAATTGTGAGTCAAACTCCTAACAGAAACGAAGAATTCTTACATAGAGTATAAAGTTAGATTTGAAGGAATAGTAAAGATTGTTATACTTCTAAATTTCTGTAAATGTAAACATTTGTTAGAATTTGATTCATAATATTGAGATCCATACTCCATTATTTATTCATTGATCCTACAATTATTTACTGACAAGTGCCTGACAAGCATTCAGGTCCTAGAGTTAGAATGGCAGACAAGGTCCCTTGTTCCCTTATTTTAATGGAACTTTCACTCTTGCTTTAGAGAGGGAGGGAAAAAGAGAAAGGGGTAGAGTATATTCAACAAGCAAATATATGTATACATACATATTTTTTAAACTATTTAGTCACAAATACTGTACAAGGAATTGAAATTAGAGTGATAGAGAAGTAACTGGTGGTCTCCAGAGTAGACCTCTGTGAATAAGTAGCATTTAAACAGATCTAAAACCAAAAAAAAAAAAAAAAAAACAGGTCTAAAACCAAGAGCAGTGATCTTTGTGCCTGTAATCCCAGCTACTCAGGAGGCTGAGGCAGGAAGATTGTGAGTTCCAGACTAGCCTTAGCAACTTAGTGAGACCCCCTCTCTAAAATAAAAAACAAAATAAAATAAACTGAGATATACCCAATAGAAGTTGCCAGACACTAGAAATTCCAGGCATAGCTAGTATACCAGCTCTCTGGTGGGAAAAAGCATGGTACAGCATGTTTAAGGAATAAAAATATGGATGTAACTAGGGTTATATGTGATCATAAAGAAGAGTAATGGTAGATGACACTGGGAAAGTAGCTTGTTACATGGGGTATATAGGGTTTTGTAAGCTAGAATAGGAAATTTGTTCCCCCTCCTTCCCCTGCCATATTGTAGGGAGCTAATACAAGGTCTTAAACTGGAGATAAACATGACCTAACTTAAAATTTTAAACAATTGTTCTGACAGCTATATGGAGAATTTCCTGGATAATGAGTAGAGATGAGACTTGTTAGGCTAGGTCAGACAAGAAATGATCAATTTGACTAAGCCAATAGTAGTAAAAATGGAATATACTGGACAAATTCAGAACATTTTAGCTATAGAATCAACAGGATTTGTTATCAATTGGATAAAGGTATGAAGAGAATAGAAAACTCAAGGATGATGTTTATATTTTGCTAGGTTGTTTCCAGGCTGATTGTTACATGCAAAATTGCAACCATGAAACTACTGAATAGGGCTGGAGTTGTAGTTTAGTGGTAGAGCACCTTGTCTAATACATGTGAGGCCCTGGATTAGATCCTCAGCAGCATATAAAAATAAATTTAAAAAATAAAGATATTGTGTCCATCTACAAAAAAAATTTAAAAGATACCACTAAATATACTTTGAATAAATTTGCTTAAGTAAATATATTTCATACACATTTAAGCTGCAGAAGCAAAAGCTTGTACTCATGCCTTGATTTAATTATTAGGAATCTGATTCCTAAGAATTAGGGGTTTATATTACATCAATTGTGGACAAAAATTGGACTGTTCCACTAAGTATCCAAGATAGCAGAAGAGAGTGAATTGAGAAAATTACCTGCCATAGGTGCAGAAGTTCTATGGGAATCTCTTATTTTTTTTTTTCAATTCATGTTGATTTTGCATGTTATTCTACAATAGGTGCATGTTTATGTTAATAATTAGAATGTTTTAAATTACTCACTAAAATATTTTGTCAATAATTAAGTTGTTTAGCCCTTGGCCCCTCAAACTGGTGAAATTTAACCTCTAGGAAGATGCACTGTGGTTATTCTATTTCTTGATGGTGGTTTGTTTGTTGATATCTGCTAGCACATAGTCACACATCCACTTAGAGAAGCACAGACCACATTTGTGAGCATTTGCAGTTTGATATAACTTGAAACAATAACCAAGGAAGTAAAAGAATTACATTTAGAAACTACTAAAAGCCTTTATAATCTTCACTTAAAATGAGTAGAAACACCGCACCCTGTGTTAAAATATACCAAATGAAGCTGTTCCATGTGTTTTTAAGGGACATTTGAGAATAATTATGGGGAAAAATGAATGAAGGTTATAGTTCTCAGTATGTTTTTGTTTGTTTGTTTGTTTGTTTTGGTACTGGGGATTGAACTCAGGGCCTTGTGCATGTGAGGCAAGCAGTCTACCAACTGAGCTATACCCCCAACCCCTCAGTATGTTTTCTGTTGGGCTTTACAGTAAAATAGACTTATCTGGATTTTACTACTTTATTCAACAACCAACAAGCAGATTTCCCCAGAAGTTATGAAAACTGTTGTAGACCTTATGAAATGCTTGTTAATGTAAGACCCTGATAAATTTTTGATATTATAAAATATTTATGTATATATCTACAAAATAGTTCTTTTTTTATATCCACTGTAATTAGTATTTTTAACATTTCTATTCATAAAACTCCAGATTGAAATAACAGTGCTGAGCGCAGTGAGCCACACCTGCAATCCCAGAAACTTGGAGAGGCAGAGGCAAGAGAGTAACAAGTTCAAGAGCAGACTCAGCAAATTAGCGAGGCCCTAAGCAACTTAGTGAGACCCTGTCTCAAAATAAAAAAGGACTAGGGGTGTAGCTCAGTGGTAAAGCATCCCTAGGTTCTATCCCTAGTACCCCACCCCCCAAAAAAAAGTAGCAGCAGCAAGAAATAATAGTAGCCTCTCTAGTTAAAGGTTACTTAATCTCCCCCAAATAGCCCCCAATGCACTATTAGTTCTTTGAAGTAACTTAAAAGCAATTCAACTTAGAAGTTTACAATAGATTGCATAACAGTAGTATAGAATAAGAAGCCAAGCACTAAAAATTTTAGACTTTATAGGCTACTTATCTTTGTCCTGATGGCTCAAGAGTAGTCAAAGGCAATATGTAAACAAATGATGATTTTTTTTTTTCCAATAGAACTTTATTTACAAAAAAAACTGTCAGTGAGGGCTGGGGATGTGGCTCAAGCGGTAGCACGCTCGCCTGGCATGCGTGCAGCCTGGGTTCGATCCTCAGCACCACATACAAACAAAGGTGTTGTGTCCGCCGAAAACTAAAAAATAAATATTAAAAAATTCTCTCTCTCTCTCACTCTTTAAAAAAAACTGTCAGTGACCCAAATTTGCCCTGTAGGCTATATTTGTTAATCCTTGGACTAGAAAATTAGAATTCTTCAGGATTTTTTTAAAATAAGACAGCAGGCCATGCTGGTGGTACATGCCTATAGTCCAGCAACTCAGGAGGGTAAGGCGGAGGATTGCAAGTTCAAGCCAGCCTCTGCAACTCGACAAGACCCTTTCTCAAAAAGAAAATAAAAAGGGCTAGGGATGTAGCTCAGTGGTAGGGTCCCCTGATTCAATCCCCAGTACTGCTAAAAGGGAAAAAAAAAATTGACAAAGATGAAAGCTTAGACTTAAGGGTTGTGGAAGCCAGCCTCAGCAACTTAGCAAGGCCCTAAGCAACTCAATGAGACCCTGTCTCTAAATAAAATATAAAAAAGGGCTGGAGTTGTGAGTCAGTGGTTAAGCACCCCTAGGCTCAATCCCTGGTACCAAAAATAAAAACAAAAACCCTCTACTCCTAGATAAAGATCATATATGCTCTTTAAAATGCCCATAGATGATTATCCTGTTTCCTTGGCTAGAACCAATATTTATTCCATCTAAACCCCTCAGTTTACAGATTATGAACCTGAGACTCAGATGAATTGTTTTATTCAGAGTCAAACACTGGTTAATTGCAAATATGAACTGAATCCCAGATCTTCAAGCTCCCAGCCTAATGTTTTTCCTACTGAACTAGCAGCTTCTTCCCTTAATTATATCAGCAGGTAATCAGAATGGCTCCTATTTTTTTTTTAAGAGAGAGAGAGAGAGAGAGAGTGTGAGAGAGAGAGAGAGAGAATTTTAATATTTATTTTTTTTTTAGTTTTCGGCAGACACAACATCTTTGTTTGTATGTGGTGCTGAGGATCGAACCCGGGCCGCACGCATGCCAGGCGAGCGTGCTACCGCTTGAGCCACATCCCCAGCCCAGAAAGGCTCCTATTTAATTGTTAATTTTCCCTTTTAGTTTTTATTTTTATTTTATTACCTTGCTTTTTTAACAAAATATTAAAGTAGTATACATCTTAAAGATTTCAAGATTAATATGAAAGAAATAGTTCTCCTACTAAAACTAAATCTGTTTAGAGAAGTGTTCTACACTCTGAACTTAAAATTAGCTTCATTTAGCTACAGATGTTGAAAGATACAATAAACTAAACCTTGTAAATCACAGGGTTTGTGTATACGGATAACATATTAATATTATTGTTTTACTCTCAGGTTGAGAGAACAATTTTCTCTGGAGTTAGCATTTCTCTTCTTCCTCTTCACCCAACTCCGCCGCCCCCCCCCCCCACACACACACACACACTCTCACACCCTTTCTAGTGCTGGGGATTAAATCCAGGGCCTCCTGCATGTTAAGCATACACTCTACCACTGAGCTACTCTGCCAGCCCCGCATTCACTCTTATATCAAAGATAAAGCACAAGAGCACAGTCATGCCAGGGATCTATCTTTGATGACTTTGTGGCTTTATATAAAGAGACAAATGCTTTATTTTCAAGATTTTTAGGGCTCATCATTACCACTCCAAATACAAGGAATAGGGAAGAAAACAAGAGCCTATTATATACCAGACAACATAGCTGAATGTTTTCACTCATATTTTTAGTTCATCTGGCAATACTATACAAGTTTTTTTACTACCTCATTTTACAGTCCTGGAAAAATGATAAATTTTCCCAGGGTCACATAGATAGCAAGTAGCAAAGTCAGAGCCTAGACCCAAAGCTTCCTAGCCTCAAAACAAAATTGTAGGATTTTACTAATAGAACTTCATGAGGAAGTCATTGTCTCCCCCTACCTCAATTCAGTCATCTTTCTTGCTACTCCTCCAGTCTAACCATCTACCAATACCAAACACACAGGTCTATTAATTCTAAAGAGATTCATCATGAACAACACAGGAAAGCAGAAAGCCAAAGTAATAGTAGAAATGTTACAGACAATAAGTAAATTTTAGGAGGCCTCATTTCTCTCTTTTTCCCCTAATCTGTAGATTCTGACTCCCTTTTACTAATGTTACATTTATATGTCTTACATTTATTGCAACTCAGATATGCCATGAACAATGCTCATAATATAGAAAGGAGGTATTCCTGGGATGGATGTAAATGGTTCTTTTCTTAGAACCATTTTCTTTTCTTAGGTTCCTGTCTATCCCATCCCACTAATAATGATATCATCAGCTTCCCAGTCACCCCAGCTGAAACCCACAGACTGTTTCTTAATTCTCTTATCCACCTTCTTCTTATGACCTATTAAGTCTTACTGATTCTCTGTAGCATCTTTTCCTCCTTGCCTTTCCATTCCTACTACCTCTTCTCCACTTTTAGGTCATTACCTCCCACATTTACTTTCTCTTTTTAACAGGGTCTTACTAAGTTACTTAGGGTCTTGTTTAGTTGCTAAGGCTCGCTTTGAACTTATGATTCTCCTGCCTCGGCCTCCCTAGCTGCTAGGATTGACTATAGCCATCAATTCCACTGCAGCCAACAAACATTTACTTTCAATAAAAATCTAATTGATTTCTGCCTTCAATTTCTCTCCCTATCGATTAATTCCATATATTATAACTGAATTCTTAATCTTCCCTAAGCATTGACTTAGCCATTAATAGCACCTATTTCCTCCAGTATAAATTCTAAACTCCTTCACATGAAATTGAGTGCTACATCTCTTAGCTTCTAATAATCTTCCTCTAACCCTCACTTACACTCCACCCTTACCTACATTCCACCTAATCCCACTTCATTCCAGCCACACTGGACTACTCAAGATTCTCTCCACACTTAGAGGCACTTTCCTGGTTCTCTACCACCTTAATGCCCTTCTCCATGCATCCAATTCCACTTGCCCTTCAAGAGCCCACTTTTATGCCACTTTCTCCTTGAATCCTTTCCTAGACTGGGCACTTAAAAAAAAAAACCCTCTTAGCCAGAAGTAACTTTTCCTTCCAAGTTTCCATATGTTTTATTTGTGTCTCTTACTGGTTTCCTCCATCGTTGACTGTAAGCATCTTTGTATCACCCACAACACCTAATATTAGGTGCTCAGAAGGTGTTTATTGACTAAAAGAATTGTGTATGCAATATGTGTTCCTTAAAATAGGTTTAAACCCAGTGAATTTTAGAACTGTGGCTATTTCATTCTCATTCTGTACTTTTAGCCCCTAGCACATGGGAAGCATTCAGTAAATATTTGTTAAATTAAATAGTTTATGAGTATTGGAGTATAAATTTCTTGATCACATGATAGACATCTAAAAATACTTTGGGATTTTTTTAAAAACCTTAATTACTAGTTTCTTTACTTTATATTGACAAATACCATATGATAAAAATTGTGTATTAATAGTTTCACTTTACAGAAGAGAAAATTCAGTAGTTTATTCATGATCACATAGCCAGTGAGTAACAGAACTGAATCTAAAATTCAAGTCTTTAGATGAAATGTTTAGAGCTCATGTTCTTTGCTGAGAGGGGTTTGGCCAAAGGCTAATTTAGTTTTCTTTGCATTAGTGTTTTGGGAGTTTAATTATTATATTCATGCTGTATGAAATAGAATTAGAGTTTTGATTAATCCTTTATTTGCGTGCTAGATGTTTTAAAACTCAAGACAAAACACAACTCTTTTTTTTTCTTTTATCTTTTTTTTTTTTTTTTTTTTGTGTGTGTGTGTGTGTGGTGCTGGAGGTCCAACCCCGGTCCTCCTCACACACAATAGGCAAACGCTACCATTGAGCTGTCTCCCAGCCCACAAAAATTGTTTTTGAAAATATTCACTCTGCCTATGGACACTCCCTCCAAGGTGAGATGATTGTACTCAAGCTCTCTTCTCTTTGTAAGCTCCTATCTCCAGCTGGCTGTAAAGGTGCAGATCTGATTTCAGCTAGCAGCATAGAGAACAGGTCCCTGGGTATTTGCCAAGCTGTGCAGTCTGGTACTCATACTATACAGTATTCATTGAAAGCATGGGGAGTGGGGTTCTGTATCTAGAAGCCTTGCTTGACCCACATGTAGACATTTCCCTTTGTATTAATATACTCTTAGATTAAGACAGATCAGCAAACTGAGTACCTGATCTCCACCAAATTGCTTTTACTGAATTGCCATTTGCTCATTTGCTGTCAGGCTAGATATTAAGGATCATTGTAAGAAAAACCTTACCAAACTATTGCAGCCATCATGCCCCATATTTATGGACATTTTGGTTAAGATACACTGTGTTGACTTTTATAAAAATTCCATGAGAAAAAATGTCTGATCTTAATACAAAGAAATCTTTTACCTCTTCTATGCAATTGCCTTGTTTTTACCTCATGAATATTGTGAATGTTTAACTTAACTCTCTCTGGTTAGTTGCCAAAAACCTTAGAGCCAAATTTGTGGCTCACCCATGATAAATATGCTCTATGCCTCATTAACTTTGTTCCTGGCTCCAGTTTATATCACTGCTCTGGTTATTCTTTTTTCATTCCTTCTTAAGAAAATTTTAATTCATACCATCTTATTTATGTATAAATACATATTTTTCATTAACAGCTATATATTATTTCTGCAGTAGTTCAAATCATGATATACCATGTGTACATGATACTCCTTTTTTTAATTTATTTTTTTGGTGGACACAACATCTTTATTTTATCTTTATGTGGTGCTTAGGATTGAACCCAGCACCCCGCGCATGCCAGGGGAGCGCGCTACCTCTTGAGCCACATCCCCAGCCCTGATACTCCTTAGTTACTTAATTTACTCTAGATTTTTTTTCTTGAAGTGTATATTTATTTTTTATATAGG